CCCCAAAACCCCAAAACCCCAAAACCCCAAAACCCCAAAACCCCTGGGATATGAATTTCTGTTGAAGACTAGGATTTTACTAGCTTGAGCACCTCTGTTGCGAACCTGTTGATCGTGAGGTGTCTGATAGGGAGGGTCCTGTTGAAGGGATCCGGCTTCTTTTCGAGTATCAACCTCTCAATTACTGAAGCTTCAACAAGGTTACCTGAAGGAGTGATCACTGGGTCCCTTACTACTCCCATATTTATTGGGCAAATTAATAACTTCTCAAGTGTACTAAGTAAACCGTAATATTTATGAAAATATTCCTCTAAGAATCCTAAAGCTTTGAAGACTGAGACTTACATTTTTGGTTATCTCTAATACAGCAGTGATTACAGTGACTCAATCTTTGCTTCTTTGCTTGAGACGGCAAGTTGGAGACAAGCTTAGTCTTCTGAAAATCTTCTTCGTCTAACTTGTCTACAGCATAAATTTAGGAATCTTACTGAAAATTTCTTGAGCATGAGCTTTCTTTTCTTCCACATCTCTACTTAACCTCTTATCTAGAAGCTCTCTTTGGGAATCAATGAGGATCTGCCTCTCTTCAATTTTCTGCTCTAATAACTTAAGTTGATCAGTCCTACTCGATTCGCAATATTGGCTTACTTCTTTAAGCTGACTTCTGTGATGCTTTTCAGAAGGCGTTGATATTTAGCAGACCTCTTTCATGCTACAGCAATGTGTTCTTGAGCTTTTGCTAGCCTCTTTGTAAACTACGAAAAGTATTAGCAAAGATACTAAATTATTCAGAGCTGAAGGTAAAGAACAGAGTGATTATAAAGATTCGAAAATATTGAGTATCATCAGCTGAAACTAGGACAATCATTGACATACAAGAGCAATGATATCCAGCTTTGTTGTGCACTTACACTATCATAAACCTTCTTCATATCAAGAGGGTCGCCCATTCTCCTCAAATCTTGGCTATCATGTGCCTTAGTACACATAGTGCCAACTCTAGTTTGGTTGGCTCATCCAGAATCTTCTCAAAGTTCTGTAAAGAACTTGGCGAAAGGAGTACGCCTCCAAGACATAGCAGAGGTGATATTGTCAAATGCTTTGGCCACCAAGACTGTTAGACAACAGAACTTGTCGGGGCTCAGCTTGGATACAATATCAGCTGGGTAAAGACTAAGAGATGAAATCTTGGATTTAAGTTGAGAGCGAAGTAAGTGAAGATCCTTGGATCACACAGAGGAGTCAGTGGTTAAATTTAGTATAGCTAAGATTCTAAAAATGAAAAGTTAGATATGAAAATACAAGAAATCGTACTCTCACAAGATCTTTCAGATACTCTTGTACACTGCAGTTGAGTCTTCCTTGTTATCTCAATGATCAGCAATTCTGATAGTTTTCGATTTTGAGGTTTGGGCTGGATCTCTATTAAAAGGTTCAAATGTCGGTTTACCTTGGACTCGCACTTTTGATTCTATTCCATAAAGGTCTTCGTCTCTGAGCAGGTAATCTAGATCTTTCGGAACCAACAGGCAAGAATCTTTCTAGAATTCTCTTGATTGCCTGAGGCTTTCTGAAATAATTTTGTTTGCCTTTAACTTTCTTCTCTACAATGAGTTATTAAGTGCTTATCATAATTCGATTCTAAAATGTGTAAAATCTTTGAGACAAAGAGAAGCTAAAAGTGGTTTATCAAACTCAATCTCGAATAATGCTCCAAAATCCTTACCTTCTTGAGGAGAGAAAGGACCTTCTACGATGTTTCTCAGAGGATTATCTCTATCAATGAAACTGTTCCTATTGCAGGTTCTTATCTTGTCTATAGTAATAGGCCAAGCGTGAGATATTGTCTTATCTGCAGTATCATCGTCCTCTACTGCTTTCTTCTGTCTACTCATGTCTCTATCACTTTCTTGGATATCCCATCTACTTGGAGATAAATTTCCTCTAATAGTACTGAAGTGCTGAGATTTCATTTTATAATTATTACCAAGTTTCCATATCTGAGCTTAAATTTGGGGTTTTGGGGTTTTGGGGTTTTGGGG